ATTGTACAAGTAATTTTATTCCCACTGTTCCTTTTTTCCTTTTATAGTTTGAATTTTAAAACCAAAATTGCATTATAAATTGCAAAAAAAAATAATAATAACAATTTAAAAAACAGTAATTAAAAAAAAAAAAACCGCGGGCGGGCCGATTTGGCCCGCGGGCTAATGCGGGCGGGCTACGGGCCATGGATTTCCCAGCCCGTAGAAATGCGGGCCATTTTGGCCCGCCCCGTTTGAACCGCGGGCCGGCGCGGGCCGGGCCGGACCGGCCCGTTTTACAGTGCTAGTCATGACGAATCGTGAGAGATTCGATGCACTTGAGGAAAGCGTGAGGTCCCTTGGCAACGGACAACACGTGGTCAATAAAAACATGGCAAAGTTGGAGCTTATGATACACGACTTGGCGGGACAGCTCGAGAGAGTCAACCACCATACGCGGAGGAGCCGCACATCGAGATCAACCATGGCGGGAACGGGCAGTTCAACGTCTAGTCGTGATGACGACGACGAACGGTCGCGGGAAACGCGCGCAACGTGCACTACCCGACACCACGGCGATCGCAGGACGCATGGCCATCGGCGTCATCGAGAGAAGCACGTACGTGCGAAACCGAAGATAACGATGCCAACGTTCGAAGGAGTAGATCCGGATGCTTGGTTAAGTCGTGCCGTGCAATTTTTCAAGATCAATGAGGTACACAAATCTGAAAGAGTTCAAATTGCTGCCTACTACTTGGATGGGGAGGCCAACACATGGTGGCAATGGGTGTCACATGTTTATAAAAATAAAGGCGAGCAAATCAGATGGCGCGATTTTGAGAAGGAGCTGATTGCCAGGTTTGGATCTAGTGAATACTTTGATTATGATGAGGCGCTGACAAGGATCCGCCAAACCGATAGTCTACGCGACTATCAAAAGGAGTTTGAGAGGATAGCAAGTCGGGTTCGGGATTGGCCCGAGAAGGCACTAGTAGGCGCGTTTGTAGGGGGCTTAAAGGCTGAGTTGGGTGCGGAGGTACGATTGGACAGGCCAAGGTCAACAAGGGCTGCCATGGAAGTGGCGCGACTGCACGATGATCATCTCGTGGCAGTGCGCAGGGCCAGACCGAGCGAGGGGCGCACGGACGTTCGCCGCGCGAACGTCGTGGTCGACGATACGCCCCCATGGGTCGAGGTCAAGCCAACAGTCGGTGATGGTACACGCACCACTAGCAACTACCGACGATTGACGGAGGATGAGATACAAAGGCGAAGGGAGAAAGGCTTGTGCTTTACTTGCAACGAAAAATTTGTGCCAGGCTACAAGTGCAAGGGTAAGGAAATTTTTGTGTTGGAAATTGAGGAGGGACGAGAGGAAGAAAAACCGCAGGAAGAGTCTTGGTTGCATATGGTGAAGTGCAACAAGCGTGGTCCTAAAATGATCAAATTCACGGCCGAGATAAAGGATATGTTGTTGGAGGTTCTGGTGGACAGTGGGTCGAGTTTGAATTTCATCGACGAAAGGATAGCCCAAAAGCTGAAGTTAGTACCCACAAAAGTCAAGAGGTTTGGTGTCAAGGTGGCCAATGGACACAAGCTACAAGGAAGTCAATTATTCAAGAAGGTCCCGATAATGGCACAGTATCACGAGCTGGAGATTGCTTTTTATGCGTTACCACTTAAGGCGACAAATATTGTGCTAGGAGTACAGTGGCTGGAAACGCTTGGACCTATCACGACTGACTACAAGCGAGGAAAGATGGAGTTGGAAGACCAGGAAAGCGCATTAAGTTGAGAACTGAGGATCAAGGTGAATTCCCCGTTGAAGAAGAAGATAGTGATGTGGACGTGCTGAACTTTCTCATCCTTGGGGACAAGGAAGGTCTTGAAGTGGAGGGGAATGATACGGAAGTGGTTGTCGATGTAACAGCCCAGCTCACCCGCTACAGAATATTGTCCGCTTTGGGTATACACCAGATCATTCCCTCACGGTTTTGCCTTTGGGAGCTAGCTCACCAAAACGCGTCCTGTAGGTTGAGGTGTCCACAGCCACTTATATGGCATGCTTCGTTCTCCTCAACAACCGATGTGGGACATCTTTTACTAGATTCCACCCCCTTGGAGGGCCCACCGTCCCCGCTGGCACAACAGTCTGGGTACTGGCTCTGATACCACTGTAACAGCCCAGCTCACCCGCTACAGAATATTGTCCGCTTTGGGTAGACACCTCAACCTACAGGACGCGTTTTGGTGAGCTAGCTCCCAAAGGCAAAACCGTGAGGGAATAATCTGGTGTATACCCAAAGCAGACAATATTCTGTAGCGGGTGAGCTGGGCTGTTACAGTGGTATCAGAGTCAGTACCCGGACTGGTGTGACAGCGGGGATGCTGGGCCCTCCAAGGGGGGTGGAATCTAGTAAAAGATGTCCCACATCAGTTGTTGAGGAGAACGAGCATGCCATATAAGTGGCTGTGGACACCTCAACCTACAGGACGCGTTTTGGTGAGCTAGCTCCCAAAGACAAAACCGTGAGGGAATGATCTGGTGTATACCCAAAGCGGACAATATTCTGTAGCGGGTGAGCTGGGCTGTTACAGTGGTATCAGAGCCAGTACCCGGACTGGTGTGCCAGCGGGGACGCTGGGCCCTCCAAGGGGGGTGGAATCTAGTAAAAGATGTCCCACATTGGTTTTTTAGGAGAACGAAGCATGCCATATAAGTGGCTGTGGACACCTCAACCTACAGGACGCGTTTTGGTGAGCTAGCTCCCAAAGGCAAAACCGTGAGGGAATGATCTGGTGTATACCCAAAGCGGACAATATTCTGTAGCGGGTGAGCTGGGCTGTTACAGTGGTATCAGAGCCAGTACCCGGACTGGTGTGCCAGCGGGGACGCTGGGCCCTCCAAGGGGGGTGGAATCTAGTAAAAGATGTCCAACATCGGTTGTTGAGGAGAACGAAGCATGCCATATAAGTGGCTGTGGACACCTCAACCTACAGGACGCGTTTTGGTGAGCTAGCTCCCAAAGGCAAAACCGTGAGGGAATGATCTGGTGTATACCCAAAGCGGACAATATTCTGTAGCGGGTGAGCTGGGCTGGATAATCTAGTAAAATATGTCCCACATCGGTTGTTGAGGAGAACGAAGCATGCCATATAAGTGGCTGTGGACACCTCAACCTACAGGACGCATTTTGGTGAGCTAGCTCCCAAAGGCAAAACCGTGAGGGAATGATCTGGTGTATACCCAAAGCGGACAATATTCTGTAGCGGGTGAGCTGGGCTGTTACAGTGGTATCAGAGCCAGTACCCGGACTGGTGTGCCAGCGGGGACGCTGGGCCCTTCAAGGGGGGTGGAATCTAGTAAAAGATGTCCCACATCGGTTGTTGAGGAGAACGAAGCATGCCATATAAGTGTCTGTGGACACCTCAACCTACAGGACGCGTTTTGGTGAGCTAGCTCCCAAAGGCAAAACCGTGGGGGAATGATCTAGTGTATACCCAAAGTGGACAATATTCTGTAGCGGGTGAGCTGGGCTGGATAATCTAGTAAAAGATGTCCCACATCGGTTGTTGAGGAGAACGAAGCATGCCATATAAGTGGTTGTGGACACCTCAACCTACAGGATGCATTTTGGTGAGCTAGCTCCCAAAGGCAAAACCGTGAGGGAATGATCTGGTGTATACCCAAAGCGGACAATATTCTGTAGCGGGTGAGCTGGGCTGTCACAGTGGTATCAGAGCCAGTACCCGGACTGGTGTGCCAGCGTGGACGCTGGGCCCTCCAAGGGGGGTGGAATCTAGTAAAAGATGTCCCACATTGGTTGTTGAGGAGAACGAAGCATGCCATATAAGTGGTTGTGGACACCTCAACCTACAGGACGCGTTTTGGTGAGCTAGCTCCAAAAGGCAAAATCGTGAGGGAATGATCTGGTGTATACCCAAAGCGGACAATATTCTGTAGCGAGTGAGCTGGGCTGTTACAGTGGTATCAGAGCCAGTACCCGGACTGGTGTGCCAGCGGGGACGCTGGGCCCTCCAAGAGGGGTGGAATCTAGTAAAAGATGTCCCACATCGGTTGTTGAGGAGAACGAAGCATGCCATGTAGGTGGCTGTGGACACCTCAACCTACAAGACGCGTTTTGGTGAGCTAGCTCCCAAAGGCAAAACCGTGAGGGAATGATCTGGTGTATACCCAAAGCGGACAATATTCTGTAGCGGGTGAGCTGGGCTGTTACAGTGGTATCAGAGCCAGTACCCGGACTGGTGTGCCAGCGGGGACGCTGGGCCCTCCAAGGGGGGTAGAATCTAGTAAAAGATGTCCCACATCGGTTGTTGAGGAGAATGAAGCATTCTATATAAGTGGCTGTGGATACCTCAACCTACAGGACGCGTTTTGGTGAGCTAGCTCCCAAAGGCAAAACCGTGAGGGAATGATCTGGTGTATACCCAAAGCGGACAATATTCTGTAGCAGGTGAGCTGGGCTGTTACAGTGGTATCAGAGCCAGTACCCGGACTGGTGTGCCAGCGGGGACGCTGGGCCCTCCAACGGGGGTGGAATCTAGTAAAAGATGTCCCACATCGGTTGTTGAGGAGAACGAAGCATGCCATATAAGTGGTTGTGGACACCTCAACCTACACTACGCGTTTTGGTGAGCTAGCTCCCAAAGGCAAATCCGTGAGGGAATGATCTGGTGTATACCCAAAGCGGACAATATTCTGTAGCGGGTGAGCTGGGCTGTTACAGTCGAGGCCAAGAGTGGTCGGGGGTGACCGATGATCGAACGGGCGAAAGGCGCGCATCAGGCGGTGATGCACGAGAGCGGGTGGCCAGCACGTGGGCAACGATGGGTGTACGGGGGTGCACGATAGGCAGTCGGGTCGCGGGCGATGGGAGGTACGCGCGGGCAGCGAGCGGCGGGCGAGCTGGGCGCGCAGGTGATGGTCACGCAGGCGGCATCCGAAACCGCGCAGGCGTAGGAGTGAAGGGCAGCAGGACGTACGCGCGCGAGAAGGACGGGCGGGGCGAGAAACGCGCGATGGCGCGCGAATGGACAGGTGCATGCCTATGCACGGTAGGCATAGGCGAGGGTGGGGGCGCGCACGCGCAAAAGGAAGGCGGCAGGCAGGGCGCGCGCGCGGAAGGGCACGCGTGTAGCGCGCGCGCAGGGACCGAACCCACCGAGGAATAGGCGTGCGAAGGCGGTGCGCGTATGAGGCGGCCGAGAGATATGGGCGTGTGATGGGATTTGTTTGTAGTGCAAGCCAAGCAAAATCAAGATCTAGTCAATTTAGGACTTTGATATATTTAGTTTCCTTCTTGCACAATAGTATCTAGAATGTTTAGGAAGTTAATATTTTATTGCTTTAATATGTTTCCTAGGTAGATTAGAATTAGTAGTAATTAGGATCTATAAATAGGGATCATCCCTCATTGTTTTTAGATGTCCAAGAATGATGAAATAGAAAAGAACGCTTGTTTGAAACCGTGTGTTAGAGTTGTGAGATTCGATCATGCAATCGAATTGGTGAGGCTAAGACCCAAGCCAGTTCAACGATTTAGAGAGGCTAAGACCCAATCTATTTCGAGAGTGTAGCGAGGCTAATACCCGAGTGAACTCAAGTATCGT